CCAAAACACTCTATAAAAGCTGTAAGACAGGTATAACTCAGCTGTTTCTGTTTTCTGCGTCTTTGCTAAAACCCATCTTCATCAGCAGCTGAGGGTGAAAACCTGGGATTTGTCATAAGGCATGGACTGAGGGGTAGGCATAGGTCTCTCTGTGGCTACTTGAGGGTACCCCCAGTGCCAGACAAAGAACTGGGGAGGCAGCAGGGGAATCTGGTATATTAGGTTTGGTTAGTTACTGTGAGAGAGAAAGTCATCCTTGGTGCTGTGGGTTAGGTTTCAGAGGATAGATATCTGTTTCCATTTGAATGAAATCTTTCTGTTATAATTGGAAAGATTAGCAGAGTACTAATGTGAAGCAAAACCACTTCCATGTTAATGAAGGTTTGTGTTCTCCTGGCACCAAACTGTTGGTTGAACCACAACTTCTTGAAAAACCAAGAATGCAGTTGCAGAGACAGACTTTCTGTTTGTCTGGAACACACATAACCCTTAACTGCATCTACTCCATCAATACCTGTCTTGAAATACCTGATTTTCAGGAGCTGAATCTTCTTGGCTCATCTATGTAATATGTATTTAAGCAACAGCAATAAAATTTATACAGTAACACAGCATACTTATATTTGTTTTATGCTAAGAAGCTTATATAAAATGCTAGTAATTCTGATTTCTAAGCAAGTTAGACTATTTAACCACTAAGATGTGTATAAAGTGTATTTTGTCATCAGTTAGGGTTTACATTTGAGCGAAACTGAGTTGAAGTTCATTTAATACTGCCAAAAACTTTGACTTGTTGGATTCTGGTCAAAATAGAAGTAGTTTTCCAAGATAAAATTGTAATCAAGATTTCAGCCATTTTATGTCAAGATCTCACTAGACTACTTTCTCTACTTTTTCTTTGGTTGGCTTTACCCACTGAAAAAGAAGAGGAAATAGGCACTTTCTGGGTTTAGAGCACACATGGAATATGATAGGATCAGACATGTTAGGATTCAGGTTCCAGGAAGGCTTTCCTAGTAACTAAGAGACCCTTTGAAGTCTTTAAAATGAGATTCCAAAGGCAACAGAGCATGGAAAGTCCTAAAGCATCATCCAGTCATAGTTAAAAATCCCCTTGGAGAGAGTCAAAACAAACTCTGATTTTTGCTGCCTTTTTTCTGAACAAAATTAACTAAATATGGCAAAATTCTGAAATGCAAACTGAAATGAAGGCAGGAGTAAACAGTGATAAGGAGTGATTAATTTTTCTATCAAGATTAAGAGTTGGCAAATCACCTTGTTATCTCCAAGATTTGTTCAGTCAATCTCACGTTTTACAATCATGAATTAAAAAAGTGCTTTTTGCGTGCACACTGAGATTCTTTTCCTTGAACAAGGTGCAGAATTTATTTTTTGTTAAAAATATTCAGGCTTTGGCAAGTTATAGTAAGATTTTGTAAAAGAGAAATTTTTTTATGAATAATGACAGATTTTTCTGGGTGACCTAACCTCTTGGTTAGGTCTTGGCTGCTGCCTAATTCTTGCTTTAGTTTTTCAGTGGGTGACTCAGCTCTCCCTCTGCCATTTAGTTTTCAGATTGAAAGCAAAGCTGTCAGGTGCAAATTGATTTCCCCTACTTAGTGGAGATCACTGTCCTCTGATTTGATTAGTTCACTCTTGAGTTATCACCTTTATGTCCACCAGAAGGCTCTACTGCTTTCTGAAATGTGCACAGAACCATGTTCTTTGGATACCTAACAAGGTCAGCACTGTTGTAAACAGGATTTAGCAATTTGCTTGCACAGAGGCAGCACACACAACTAAGCAATTAAATTCTAATGTTTTTAAGAAATCAAAATTTGATAAATACAGATTATTTACAATTGGTGAGTGAAGATTTGGTTCAGTATTTAGTTCTGATGTGAAATTTGAATCCGCACGCATTTAATACAGTGGCTGTTAACGGAAAACCTTAGAAATTTTAACACTTTCACTATTTATGCTGTTACTTTCATAGTATGTGTATATATATTTATTCTGTAATTAGAGAAGTTTGAAATACAAAGACCTTAACTCCTCACCATCTTCATGTTCTTATAGTCCCAACTGGTAAGAGAACATTTATTAACTTTGGCCCTTGCCAAAGTTGTGATGAAGTTATCCTTCCACAGACGTTTTTCAGTGTGAAGATTGTTCTTCACAACGTTCATGCTTCACACCTCATGGGCTGAAAAGAAGTAGCTCACTTGATCTACAAAACTGGCAGGACAGCTTCCTTCATGAAGCTAAGTTATAGGTAAAAACAGGATTTTGCTCTCATTTTATTTCAGTAGCACAAATTAGCAAATTCAAAAGAGACAAGATTTCCTTTTATTTTTTATGTAAGTGGAAAATTGGGATAAAATGAGAAGAAACCTCTTGGAGCAGCACTTTTCATGTCCACTGATTAGTTTGACTGCAGCAGTTCTGACATTCCATCCTAACAGGTTTGATTTACCTTTTACTAACTTTCAGAAATCACGAAACAAGAATGTTTGCACAGACAGAAATACATCCTTTTCATTTGTATGGTTTTAAAATTACGCTTTTATCCAGAGAACCTCAATAAAAATAGCCGGTTTGAAGTTTTAATGTTAATTTTTTTTCCTTATGGAAGGAAAAACCACTAGCATGCCTTAGAGAAGGTGTACTAGTCTAGGTGGGCATTATTTTTTCTGGGTTTTTGTTTGTTTTGCTTTTTGCCCCCTCATATAATATAATTTTCTTTATGATTATTTATTTTAGTAGAGAGCCAGAGGCACATCTTCAGAAAGTCTGTTTGCATCTTTTGTTGAATCAAGGATATGACAAAAAGTGTTCCCATAATACTGCTACAGTACTAATTTCTGTAGTTTCTCACAAAATCCAGATTATCAGTGTTCACATTTTTCTAGTCCTCTTTGTCTATATTTGCCTATCTACTTTTGCAACAAAAGCATTTGGGTATTATTCCTTAAGATACAATAAATAAATTAGAGTATTAAAGTTGAGAGGGTGGGAATTTCCTACATACTTCTGCCAGTTTAAAGATAGTTAATCACAGTGCTCATCAGTTACCAGATAATCGTTACAATTCCATTTGGTTTTTCTCATCATACTCATTGCATTTTCCAGAAAAAGGATTAAGGTTTTTTTCCACTACAATGTAAACATAAGGGTCTAGTGACTCAAGTTTGCCTTTCTATAATTTGCAATAGTTAGTTACTATTACTAAATTATCATGAGGTGTTCAGGAAACTGCAAGAGACTGCATCATTGACACAAGAGGATGTGGTGTTCTCTAATGGGCTCACTACAGAATGTTTAAAGGTGTCATTAATGTGCTTAAGCAGAATGGGATAATTCAGAGAACTGAGAACCTCTGCTTGAATTTGAAATAATGCTAAATTGCTAACGAAGTTTTACTTAGGCATCATGGAACTAAAAAAGCAACTCTGTATAATAAATTACTTAGCTCTAGATGCTGTCATAATGTGTTTGTAAATAATAAGAGAAAAAAATTGGGTACTGTGAATATTCACCTCTCTTCATTAATTTTGAAGAATCAGTTTCAACAATCAGTAACATTTTTTCCTGTGATTTTTAATGGGAACAACATTTCACTTCAAAACTAGTCCTATGGATCTCTATTGTAGCAATGCCCTCCTGAAACTCCAAGGGAGTCTTCTTGAACATGGACCAAATAATTTAGTTGGCTGCTGGCCATGTGTTGTCTTTCAGAGGAATATGGTTATTCACTATGTAATAGCGTAGAAAGAAAGGAGACATATGGAAACAAATTTTAAAAGAAACAGTAACATTAGTCAATGCAGTTTTAGCCACACAAGTTGCCAGGCATTAATGTAGTCATGAAGCAGAGGGATAAATGCTGAAGCCCACTGGCCAGGCGTGCAGCACGCCAGAGTGCTGCTCTGCTAGAACACAGGCACTCAGCTTCAGCTGAAGCCTGAGACACACTAACAGTTCTTGAAGTTTGATTTATGGATTTCTTTTGCTGCTGCTATTATAAAAAGCACACTATTATATACAACAAATTAAATCATTTTTAAGCAGCATTCTTGGAAATATATTTGTCCTTTTATTTGTCTCTAAACACTAGACCAGCATGTCCCTGGCCCCTTTTTGTTATAATTTTGTTTTGAAATGTGTGGTATAATCCTATGTATTTTCCCATTGCATCTTAATCAAGTAATGCCTTTTCAAGTACATGTCATGTTTCTCTAAATAAACAATACATTTGTAACAACACAAAAGACAAAGTGGAAAAATAATGACCGGAAAATTTGATGTCTTCAAATATTAATCAAAGATTATATAGGTATTTGTGTGGAAAATACATATTAGTACAACAATTCCTTTTCCAGATCAGAATTTGCATTTGGTAGAGCTTCATAAAATATTGTATGTCCATTCTCTCTAGATGAGTCATAGTTTTGGAAGAAAGGGGGGAGAATATTTTTTCAGCATTATGATCATTGTAATAATGAACTGCAGAAGCTATAATAGATTTTGTTCCTGGCTTGGCAAACTATCTAAAAGATTTTGCAAGAGAGTTTACATAATTCTTTCCATTGAACTTTCTAGTATTTCTATGTTTTAATTGTTAACTCAAACACACCAAACTTTTAGGTAGTTTGTGCTCTATATAAATGTGGTTTAATGTTTCAGGAGTATTTTATGAGGAGAGTTGGTGGCTATACATTTTCATACATACAATTTAGTTCACTTGTTAAAATAGGCTCTCTGTTTGCTAATAGTTCCCAGCTGTAACTAATACATTAACAGATCTACAATGCAGTATTTAAAATGACGCATTTCAAAATCAATAGCAAATGTCCTGCTGTACGATTAATTGGAAAACTTGTTTTACACAATGGTCAGTACATGATAAAAAACTCTTTAGGAATTATGGTAAATCAAGGAATAGGAAACAATGACGTGGAAATTTCTAAAAACTTAGGAAAAGCAAAAATAATACTTACTGTAGTTGTTGTTTGCTTCTCTTGTCCCTTTCACTTTGCCTCGTTTATCAATCCTCATATACCACTGAGTTCGACAGAAAAGTCTTCTCACTCTTACATCCCCCCCTTCCATATAATCATAGCTTCTGGTATGTCGCTCAGGGCTGGAGCAGTTCACATTTGTAGCCATTTGCTCTGGAGTCATGTCATTGCAAGCTAAAGATATAGTGCCCATTAGAAAGATAATGTAAAAGTATGATCTGTAGAGCAAAATTGGCAGGATCCATGTCAGTATCCATTTGTGCATTATAGTGCAGTGTTCTGGGTGTTCATGAACAACATAATGAAAATTAAATCTCAAGTAGACTGTTGCTCTTAGGTCACCGACCTGCCTTCTGTCTTTACGAGTTACAGATTCATTTAAGTGAGATTGCTCCCTCTTCTAGAATTCTGATCGTTATTTCTTAATAGTTAATGGCGAAATAGAAGAGCTTCTTAAATATCTCTTCAGTCAGAATATCCTTTAAAGACACAAGTTATAAAAACCTTTGTTGTTGGGACCTTCTTTACTACTTGAATTTGCTGCTTGCACTGAAAGTAAAAGATCTGTGAGAAAAGGTGCATGTGTAAGTCTTTATGCTCAATTGTTACAAACGTGCAAAGATACATTATGCTAATGAAAATTACTACACAGAAATACATGACACGCCGAGCAGATTTTTAAAAACATGCTAATGCATATACAATAGATATCTCTCATACAACTTTTTACATAAACAGACATTTACACTGATTGTAAACACAATTCTCTCTTCAGTTTTAAGTCCTTCCAAAAATCTCCTATTGATTAATTTCAATTCTCATGCATAATAAAATTCTCCTGATTACTTCATACCTATATTTTTACTATTAGCACAACCTATCATACAACTTTTCTCTAGTTCACGTTTGAAAATAGACCTCATGGCTTTAGCCCTGTGTTTTTATTCTACCCTTTTCAGATTATTAGTAGAAATAGTTTTCTTAATTCTTTTCTTAGCATCTAGCTTATAGAAATAAAAACAAGTTATTAGCTGTTAGAAATTGTTGAATAATCTTATAAAGGACAGATAACTTACTTGTTCCTGTTGATAAGAGCTGGATACCCAAGTACTCCATTTCTGTTGTCTCCTTTTTGCAACATGAGACACTCTACTGTAGCTACAAACTTTCTCAGCTCAGAAAGACTCCACCAGAATTATAATTGTTTCCATAAATCAACAGGCTGGAGAGATGGTGTGTATGTGCTTATGCGTGCGCGTGCATGTGTGTGTTGAGCCTGTTCAGTCCTTTTCGATAAATACCTTTGCTGACCTCACTTGGAAGCAATTAGAATTTAACCAGTCAGCTGTCAGTTGAATGCACGAACAAAAGTAAAAGGAGACTTGCATTGTATCGTGTCCAATGGTCATCAGAGGGAGCTATGTACATAGTTTATGGTTTAAATCTCCAAGAATCTTCTTTCTAAAAATGTATATTTTGTACTGTGTGGAGAGAATTGCTTCACATGCTAGTTAGTGTTTCTGTGCTCTGGTTTAGGTCAGTATTCTTCTGTCCTTAAAAAATTCCTCCTCCTCTCTTTTGTACTCACATGCTTATCTCAGTGTGCTTTCAAATCTCTTCTGCAGTTTGGTGGATTCATAGTCTGCTTAGTGCCTTTCTGAAGGATATATGAAATGTGGGTCTGTTACATACTGTGGAGAAGGGTGTGCTGTAGCCCTTAGAGATCATGAGGTATATTTTTATACCATGAATTTGAAAAGAGAGACCACTGCACTGAGGTTTTATTTCATCAGCCACTAGGTGAAAATGAGAAAGTATATTTGGATGTTTCAAAGTCTGACATTCAAACAAAACCTTTATCAGCTGGAAAGAAAAATTGCTACTATGAAACAGCCTTTTTTTAGCGTATGTAGTTAGTTCTGGAAACTCGCAAAGGGAGGATGAAAACTGGCAGCAATGTAAGAAAACCCTGAATACTGCACACCAAGCAATGGGCTTAAAATCTAGGGAATGAAAATCATGAGTGGATACACCCGGTTTTCTGCTTTTGTGTACCTGTTTCCCTCTCTGACACCAGCCTGCCCATGTTGCATTTCACCCCTAAATTCTGTTGAGTTTCTGGTGAGTATATTTGTAAAACACACTGAAGCAAAGTTTTCAGTAGCTCTTTATCCTTTTAACTGCCCCACTATTGATGTGAGCACGCCTCAATCCCTTTAGTGAGCAATACCAACAAGGAGAGTTTGGAATTAATCCAGTTGTTAAGAATAGTGTACTTATGTTTAATAGTTTCTGCCTAATAATATAATGCAGTTTATCATTCCATGCTCTTGTCCCATCCCCACTCCCTTCCTCCCTCTTAATTAAAAATCAAGTGAGCTGTAAAGGCAGTTAAAAATCCCAGGGAGTACGTATGTGCCACCTTGTGGTGAGGGGGACATAAATAAACAGGGTGTTTCACTGGACTGATCCAAAATTAACAAAAAGGTGCACCAGGCAAATTTGTAGTACTCAATCCTTCCTATACACAGAGAGAATGAGTAATTTCCTTCCTTAACATCAACAGCCTCCTTGTCAGCACTCACAGGGATCAGTCCCATTTGTCACTTGCTTTGCATTCTTTTTTAACCATTTTCACACATAGTCCAAAATGGATAGATTTTTCTTGTGGTTACCTCTATTTCAGCATACTGGGCTGTTGTCTGTGTTCTGTAGCTCATTTTCCTACTTTAGCAAGAGACTCAGTATATTCACCTTTCTGATATGAAAGATGTGCTGCTGAGGGCTTTCAAAGGCTGCATACCTGCAGCTGATACACAGAGAAGTGGCTGTCATTAGTTCACTCTTGTAAACTGTGATCACAGCTATCTCCAGTTTGACTTCTGTCTTGTCAACCCATGCCACCATTCTGACAAGGAGTGGGGACTGAAGTCACTTATCCTGGTGTGCCTTTTGCAGTATGTTTGCTGGATTTATTTTATTTCTTTTTATGCATGTTCTCTGACCCATTCCACAGTCTGAATTCAGAATGATAGCAATGAAAAAAATTTGTGGTATTCAAAAGGCTTATCTCTTGTGTATTATAAAGAAAGCAATCAAGGATAAAAGGTAATCTGTGTTTTACTCAGCAAAATAGGATGCAAGTACAAATGTTTTTGTAAATATTCTGTGTCTTTTATGTCCAATAACAACCTGTGCTTTCAGATCTGTACTGGCTTTAATTTTTCTTTCTCCTTGCTTACTTACTGTTTCTGACAGTTAGTACCAGGAGAAAAAATACATACCTGAGGTTTTGGTTCCAGAAAGCTGGAGCTATTTGTGGTCCAGGCATAGGCAGGCATGTATTTCTATTGGCTCTGAAAAAATAAATCACTTGCTGTAAGTGAGTTTTCTTAAGTGGCACCTCACTTCAGATCTCTGGAAACTTTTGTAGTTAAGAATAAATTAAAAGTGGCTTAGATAAGGCACTAGCTCTTATTTTAGTTGGTGAACAGTGCAGTTACTCTTTAATTATTGCTGCTAACATTCAAAATACAGGGATAGCCTTGTATTTTGTAATTATAGAATAATATCTTTCCACTGTGCTTTAGCTGCAGTTTTCTTAATTACTCATTTTTGTGTTTTGCTACACAAGTCCAATTCTGTATCTTTCTCACCGTGTATGCGTACATGAGGCTTCTCTGCATGAGTTGCCAAGGCTCTGAATGGCCCAACATGCACGTGATAAATCAAGCATAACTGTTATGTCTCTCGAATTGAATTGGTTTAGAGAAGTTTTATCTTAATTGACATTTGGTTCTCTAGCTGTTTAACAAATTGCATGCCCAGGTCTTTGCATTACAATCCCAAGCAAATCTTTAATAATACGTAAAAATTTTCCACCTAAAATGCTTGTGATTTTCTGTTTCTTTGGTGATGTGTTCAGGTTTCAGGACCGCAGGAAACGTGGAAATGTGCAATATGCACATGCTGTAAGCCATCCTTTAATACTTAATGCATGCATTGGTGCTTCATTCTCCCTGTTGATGAGAGTTTTCGACAGCATCGTTACAGTGCCCATACTGAAAAGGAAAGTCAAAATGAATTGCAAGCACTTTGCTTCTCATTGTAAAGATTGCATTGGTCTCCAGTTAAAATAGAACTCAATAAAGGTTATTCCCTTTTTCCTTACATAGGAAATTGCTTTTTGTCCTTTCAGATGAAAACATGACCACAAGGACCCGTGCTTTCTTCATCTCCAGGCTGGCCTGCTGCAAATTTACTGCCCAGCTGTGGCATTGGGTCATGAATGTGACTAAAACAACTCCATTTTGTTCAGTTTGCCCTTAGGGCAACACGTCACTGCTAAGAAACTTATCATTCTCTTCCTCCTTGTTTCCTGATCCATTTCAAATTTGCTTTAGAACATCTTCCAGATTTTCCAGAATAGAGTTTAAGACAGTAGGAAGATACAAATCTTTGGCTCTAACTTTAAGCCCCATATCTTGGGTTTTAATGCCCTGCAGCAATAGCTAAACTGGGATTGGAAGGTCCCAGGGAAAAAATACCATAGAAGCGAAGGTGCTAAATATTCTTGTGGTTAAATCCTTATCCACAGCTTCCAGACCTCAGAAATCAGAAAGAAATCAGCATCAGATCAAGGCTGACTGTTGCTACATGCAAAAGATACAAGGAAAGTGCTGCAGTTGGAGCAAATCTTTGGTCAGCGTTGTGGTATCTGAGAAACACAGCAACATGTGTGGAAAATAAACTCATATAACGAGGCAGTAAAAACAAGAGAGACAGGGAATATTGCACTTCAGTTTGGATTTATCTTTTCAGGTTGTAAGGCTGAGATTAAAAACTGTAACTATGTATCCTTTGTCTCCCTGACTATAAGAATGTCTTTTTGGTTTTGGTAACTGGTATGGGTTATTAAAATCATATTGAAAAGACAACAGCTATTTTTTCCTAGCAATTTTCAAAACAAATCTCTTCAACATCATTCCTTTTTTTGTTTCCTCCTATTCATCCAGATCATATTGAGCTGATTTAAATTTACAGGAAGAATTGAATGGGATGCGGCAGATACTTGGAAAAAACCCCCACTCAAACTATCAAATAGTTTGACTACTGCATAACTAATTCCTTTTCTTTTAGTTAGTTACAGCAAATGTGTTTTATATAGCTTACTTTAGGGAAAACAAAGGCTGGGAATACCTTAGCTCAGTCAATAGTCAACTTAAAGGTAAATCTATCCAGACTCTTTTCACTTGGACGATGGAG